CCCTCCTTTCCAAGGTGGAGGGTATAAATAATCGGTCCAGCCGTTCTCAACTGATTCCATTACCAACGAAGAACAATTGATATATATATATATATATATATATATATATATATATATATATATATATATATATATATATAAATCAATTGTTCTTCGTTGGTAATGGAATCAGTTGAGAACGGCTGGACCGATTATTTATACCCTCCACCTTGGAAAGGAGGGTTATAAACTTTGCCATTCTGTTTGTAACATCAAAATATATATATATATATATATATAGATTTATAAGTTTTCTACTTGGAATTGAGTACATTATTAACACTTTTAATTTGTTTTGGATTCTTTAGTATTAAGAATGAATTGAATAAAAGAAAAACAAAAAATTTAAAATAGCTTTGTAAAATATGCCACTCGTCATACGTAAATATTGTAGAATAATTTTATATTTGAAGCCGTAATTGTCAGAAAAGGGTTGCCATATTCGGTTTAACAAATGGGTCGTCCTCTATTTTTTACCATGAATAGTATAATGAAAAAATATTGTTCGTTTTATATTTTTTGGCATATAACTTTGATACTGGCTCTAATTACAATAAAGGAAAAATTCTATATAACTGTTACTCAAAAGTATTTGTCATAGTTTTGCCTATAAATTCTGTTAATTATAGGTACCAAGAATTTGATGGAAGAAAAATGTTATTTTGTCAAAATCAAAATTTGAGAAATTGCTAGACTACCTTTCTTATTCTGCCAAATGTAAAAAAATCCAGCCACTCTCAGCGATGCCAACTTAGTGCTTTTCGCGTTATTAATGGTGCTTTTTAGACCGCCCAAAACGCCAAAATAGTGGGCATAGCGCGTAAAAAAAAAAAAGCACTGTGCGTACGCTTTTCATCTTTTCTGTTGGTGCATTTAGCGGGTTTTAGATTTTAAAATGTGGCAATGTTTATACATTCGAATATTTTGATATTATGATAAGTTCTACACAAGTTCTTTACTGCAAATTCTCTAGGTGTCTTTCATTCCTGTCATTGAATTTCTTTTGTTTACATATAACTGTTTTTTAATAAACCAAAATAAAACGAAGGATTTTGTGTATTATAAACCAATTGAAGGAAAAGTGAAATGAACAAGAAAAAAACGCGGATGTCATTTCTAATATGGAACTAAGATTGACAATATATAGATATGGTAAATGAGTAAGTAAATGAGTTCAAAGATTCCATAGGGTAAAATCCCAAGATTTATCAGAATTCGTTATAAGACTGGTTAACTTCCTATACTCAAATGCAGAAGTAGAAAGAGCATTCAGAGCTATGAATTTATATAAATCGAAAATCAGAAACAGATTATCCTTAAATTCTGTAAATTCTATTCTACATATTAAATATGGCCTTCGTCGAGAGAATACGTGCTGTGACAAATATGACCTGCCGTCAAATGTCTGTAAACAAATTTCTACACAGGAAGTTTACAAAAAGTCAAACTATTTTTTACAAACTGTCTTATGGCAAAATGAAGAAACTGATGCAGACATTCCAACTCCATTTGAAGCTATGGGTTTTATAGGTGAACATAATTGTTTGTAAAAATGTATATGTCTGTAAGTTTTAACCACATGTAAAATGTTCTTAATACAACATTCTTTGCGTCAATTGAATTTTGTACGGGAACAAATGCAAACGCGGTATGTCACTAAGCGATGTGACATCTCTGTCAAAAGTTATCATATTTTTTAAAAATATGTGTGCACTTATATACATGAAATGTTTATAAAAGATGCGAACTAAATTTCATTTCATTATTTACCTTACAAAGAAATGCAGTACTTAGTTTAAAAAAAAATGTTTTATTGACAATTTTGCCATTTTGGTTAGAAAAAAATAAATAGTGCTTTTTACGCTTTTTTAAGGAAAGTTTTTACGCCATTTACGCTTTCCTGGTTTTTAATTACGCTTCTAGCTCTCAAAATGTTGGCAACACTGGCCGCTCTATTCTAATTTAAAAGTATTGACAATTCGGAAAATTATTCGGAGATTATTATCCTCAGAACTGTCCACCCATGGCGCATGGCCTATGAACTTTTCTCTGTAGTAGAAAGTGAAGAAATTTTTGTTTTGTCACATATAAGAACTAACAAGACTTGATCGATGAAGCGGGCTTTGGAACTGTTGCGCGAATCAGAATATCTGAAGTCATGTCAGGGTGATAGCATTGTTACTTACGCGAAGTTTCTTAAAAATGGCCGTATATTTAAGGAAGAGTTGTGCAATAGTTGGAAATTGCTGGGATCATGTTCAAAATTAGAGCTAGAAAATATAACTATCCCTGTGGAGGGAAATTGTCTATCATTTTTACAATATCAAAACTTTGCAAAATATTTTCACAAAGAATTTAAAAGTAATATAAGTCAACCAATTGTGTTCCAAAGAATCAACCTCGATCCGAAACGAAAGCAGGATTCACTTTTGCAAATAAAATCGTCCAATACTGTTAGTTTAGTCCGTGATTACTTTATCCATTCGTCTCGTGCACGTGACACCTACTATAATATTCAGCGGGAGCGCAAAATATGGTGGATGCGCTACTCTGCCGATCCTAGTCGTTATGTTGTAGGAACACTTGACCCATCAAAATATATCGAGGGCTGTCTTGAAAATTATTGTCAGGCCGTAACGATCAAGTCGCTATTTTCCGACGACGCTATCATAATGGAGACAATAGTCTGGGCAGAGCTAAATCCGACAAGGAATGTCAATAATATTTCAAATATTGGAGTCTCAGTTGTTAGATCTGTTGTTGATTTAAATTTGGCAACGATTGGTAAGTGATAAATTTTATTGCATAAGAAATTTCTTGTGTCCACACGAATCTTTCTAAAAGTTTTCACTGGTACTCCTTGTGCCTATTTACAAATATACTCCCCAAAAACGTTTTGTATATATCCTTGGTTTTACTTCGTTTTTAACAGATAAACGCAATGAGTTCGAACAAGTACCAAATTTTTAACCAAGTAGCTTAACGACATTTGGCATAAGTTGAGTTTAGGGGCTATGCTTGGATTGACCTGAAAATTTTACCGCAGGTAGGTATTTGTAACCTGATTACGGCAATATAATTTTTTTGTGGGGGAAATACCCGGTTACCCGGTTATTCGACCCAAAAGTTCGGATACAACATCCGGTTTATATCGGTTCTACGTAACCGATATCAATAATATGGGTATCATTTGAAAGCTTATGAAAATACCTATCCAACAAGTGGTCATATGACGGGGTAACTGGAGAAATTTCGGAGAAATTTAGGAAAATGTGCATTTTTGTATGAGTAATTTTTGAAAAACCCATAAAAACTCGAAAATGGACCCATTATAGGGTCTTAAAATCTATACACAATATTATAGCTAACACTATTGCCTTTCCAAAATGGTGTCATATGTGTTGATATCTTTTGTAGTTCCGAAGATATTGACTTTTAAAGTCGTTACTTATGAAAGCAGTTTGAGTGAACCCAAGTTTTGTGTCGGGTTTAACGTTCTTGTTAATCTGCTTTGTTTTTAATTTGGTGTTGTTAGAATATTATGGATCGCGTAGTCGGTGTTGGACATATCCCAGAGGAGAAAATCTTAAGCCCCGGCCGAAGGCCGGCTGCTTACAAAAATTACAATTTTTAGAAAAACTATGGATCGCGTAGCCGGTGTTGGACATACCCCAGAGGAGAAATCTTAAGCCCCAGCCGAAGCCCGGCTACTTTCGAAAACTACAGTTTTTAGGAAACTATTGATCGCGTAGCCGGTGTTGGACATACCCCAGAGGAGAAAATCTTAAGCCCCGGCCGAAGGCCGGCTACTTACAAAAATTACAATTTTTAGAAAAACTATGGATCGCGTAGCTGGTGTTGGACATACCCTAGAGGAGAAAATCTTAAGCCCCGGCCGAAGGCCGGCTACTTACAAAAATTACAATTTTTAGAAAAACTATGGATCGCGTAGCTGGTGTTGGACATACCCTAGAGGAGAAAATCTTAAGCCCCGACCGAAGGCCGGCTACTTACAAAAATTATAATTTTTAGAAAAACTATGGATCGCGTAGCCGGTGTTGGACATACCCTAGAGGAGAAAATCTTAAGCCCCGGCCGAAGGCCGGCTACTTACAAAATGTACAATTTTTAGAAAAACTATGGATCGCGTAGCCGGTGTTGGACATACCGCAGAGGAGAAAATCTTAAGCCTCGGCCGAAGGCCGGTTGCTTAAAAAAGCTATAAAGGTCAAAGTCAATGCATCTAGACTGGAGAAAAATATAATTTAATGAATTCTATCTCTTATATCCACGGAACCACAAAAGATATCAACACATATGACACCATTTTGGAAAGGCAATAGTGTTAGCTATAATATAGTGTATAGATTTTAAGACCCTATAATGGGTCCATTTTCGAGTTTTTATAGGTTTTTCAAAAAGTACTCATACAAAAATGCAAATTTTCCTAAATTTCTCCGAAACCGGTTCCAGCTACCCCGTCATATGACCACTTGTTGGATAGGTATTTTCATAAGCTTTCATAATGATACCCATTTTATTGATATCGGTTACGTAGAACCGGATGTTGTATTCGAACTTTTGGGTCGAATAACCGTGTAACCGGGTATTTCCCCCACAAAAAAATTACATTGCCGTAATCAGGTTACAAATACCTACCTGCGGTAAAAATTTCAAAATGATCCGAGCATAGCCCCTAAACTCAACTTGCTCCCGACATTTACCTACATGTAAAACCTCGAATTTTTCGAATAAAAAATGTGTTGATTCAAACAATAGTTTTCTTCTTTAAGTGAGGAAATAAAGTGTTGTCGACTGAAAGTTCTGGAGGGATACTGTTCTGTTTCCTGCCAATGTGAATTACAGATGATTTTGGTGGTGACATTTTAACCCCAGATTTGTTTGTCAATTTGGCTATTTCCTGTATAAATAAAGAGAAAAAATTGTCACATCATTACTTTACTTTACTAGGTCGTCAGCATATAGGCAATGAAAATGTTGAATTTATTATATCATTAGTGCTTTTGTTACGAAGTGGTCAATGTGTCCTGGAGCCTTTGCACAATTTTGCTGTTCTTTGTTCGCTGGGTGTAACGAACCATGATAGCTTTTTTGAAATAATTCGTTCCATTAGCGAAATTGACCAGTAACCGGAAAAGTTAATTGGGTCAGTAAAGTGGGTGCTGTTTACATTGATTACAGGTATAGTGTGTGTAGTGTTTATTCAAGATATTTTGCTCCATACAATAGAAAGTTTTGAAAACTTGTTGCTTTTTCTTTCTATTTTCATATCTAAATTTGGCATAGCGTACACAAGTATACAACTTCCCCACTATGGTAAAATGTTTTGTTCGTCCGTATTCGTCCGTATAGCCAAATACGTGATGTCCATGTCTTAAAATCTACCAAATAATAACGTTTTAAAAATTGATACTTTCTAAATTCACCCAACTGTAACATTTTCCAATTATTAGATTCATATTTGTTGTATTTACCTCATTATTCAACGGACTTATTTTATATTTCTTCACCAGCCTTATGAAATGTTATAATCATATAGTAGCCTTAGATAAACAAACTATATTTGAATACAATTTTCTTCACTTAATTCTGATTACCTGAATTAGTTATCTTATTCTACCACTTCCACCTTTACATCAGGTTATGGACCTTTTGTATCGTTTATCGTAAAATTGTTACGCGGATTACAACAATATATAATTCAATATATATAATTTCATTTTCTTCTGGTTTAAAATGTCTGTTTTAAAAGCTACGTGGACGTAACATTTCGATGTATGGAGAAGACATGCGAAGTCTCATCAATTACTGTCATATTGCAAAGCTAAAACGGCAGGAGAGGTTTGGGATTCTTTGTTAAGCGCATACGAAGACAATGGATTGACCTGATAAGTGGAACTCTTGAAACATTTGGGTTAACTAAAGCCTGGTGATTTTTCTTTAATGCAATTCTGGAGGAAATAATTTAAATGAATTGTCAAATTTTCCGGAAACAGGAAAGCATATCTCCCCAAAAGAATTACCAGCGATTAGAGAACCGGCAGTAACTCTACAAGCGGTGGTGATATTTTTCTGGAAACTTCTAGGAATAGTAATGCTCATAATGAAGAAACTTTATGATAACCAATTCCGGAAAGTGCCAGTCTTCGACTTGCCGAAAGGATTGCTAACTGACCTAAACGTTCTTTGGATTTAGTGCAATAGAATTCGTACTTGATCATCCGATTAATATAGCAGAAGTAAATACATCATATTCCGAGGAGTTGAATCAATCTATGAAAGAAGAATACGAATCGTTAATTGCCAATTGATTTAGCTGCCAAGTACAGTTTGAAAATGCTAAAAAATGAATGCGGTTACAGCTTCTTTAAACGGCACTCGAAAGGAGGAGATCCATATGGAACAGCCCAAAGGTATGAATGATGGAACTGGTAGAGTTTGAAATAGCAAAATTTTCTTACAGGAGGGTTAAACATTATCCGATGCCGATCAATGCATTAATTAAAGAGTGCAAAAGAATGAAATAGCATAGATTGCAATTTATGTAGATGAAGTGGAAATTTTTTGAAACAAATACATTTATATTCAACGTATTAAAAAGACGTTAAAAAATAACTTTAGAATGCAAGACTTGGGCGAAGCATCTTTAATGTTGGGAATCAGAACTACTCAAAACGAAAACTCAAGCAAAATTGATCAAGCAAAGTATTTTAAAAAAGTTCTTAAGTGTTAGACTGCAGCCCAATAAGAACTCCTGTGGATTGTGATAAAAAAAAGATATTGCGACAATCCTGGAAAAGGTCACTGGGAAGCATGTAAAAGGATGATGCGTTATTGAAAAGAATTTTGAGCAATGGTATTGTTTATACTAAAGGTGGCAAAGAAATGGCTGGATAATGCGACGCTGATAATGGCAGTGACGTCGATGAAAGACGTTCGACAACTAGATATGTATTTAATTTTCAAAGTGGTGCTGTGCCCTGTGCCCAAAAAGAGAGAAAACTGTACTGCTCAACAGGGTCTTCTTTCCCCGCTAATTATTCCAAGCCCGTTCCCTTGGCTGTGGTTTCACTCCAAATTGCACGACTTCCAATTTTGTTTCCTGGGTGCTGGACGAATTTCCGTTATTAGACAACATTTTCCATCGGATGCAGCAGGACGAGATGCAATGAATTTACATTGAAGATTAATAGGTTGTCACGAGAGCACAAGAGGATTTGAATTTTTTTCACCGTTGAAATTGATATGACTGAGTAACAATTAAATAACGGATTCCTGGATAAACTGTTCTACATGCCGTTTTCGCCTATGTCAGTTGAAAAGAACCTTGAGACACAAGGTTCCGCCTGGGATATATTATTCGATGACTAACGCAAAACAGGATGTGCTATAGAATGTTCTTGTCGACTTTTATATACTTAGCCACGTTGTTTGTGGACGTCGAATGTACTACTTTCCGACCAAAATTTTTTCCAACCATAAACTACTCCAAAATAACATTTGATCTCGCAAACAACAACTATCTGCGATAAATTGCATTTGAAGTGTAAGTTAAGATACCTTGTTGACCTCTAATTACGTCGGCCTAAGTTAGCTACGCGGATCTGGAAACAAGTCTCTCATAAAAATTTAAAGTTTTAGGAACAGATAAAAATGGGGTATAAATTTTTATTTATATGTTGTTTACGTTTTTTGAAGTTCTTTTCATTTACATATTTGCGGTATACGGTAATGTAAAAAATCAGAACAATTTCAGCTGAGCATATATAATAAATTAAATTTTAACTTTTATTCAATCTTTAATAGGCTTGCTCCTGGACAGCGCAGCTCATGGACTTGAAAGAAATGTTCTGAAAGTAAATCAAAAACTTGCTCCATACCAGTGCCTCTTAGTGCCTTATGAAGGTAATTTAATAACATATTTCATCTTACTAACTATTAAACAAATTATAATTTATTTAATTTTAAACATTTTTTATAGATGATGACGCCATAATTGAACTTTGCAGTCATCTACAACATGTTTTGCAGCGTTCAGGACTTAGAGTGTACAATTTAGAGATTAGTACTGCTAAAAATATTACTAGTATATTAAGTAAGGCTGATTTACTGGGAATTCCTTTTACCATAATAGTGAAGAAAGTTGCCTTAAAAACAGGACTTTTGCGGTTGCGAAATCGAGACACTACCCTATCGGAAACTGTACATATAAGTGACTTGTCGCCTTACATAAATTCAATTTTTAAAGAATGAAAATAAATTTATTATGAATAGTTGTTAAGTGTACTCTGATTTTTAAAGTATAATTTAAGGTATACTCATAGCACAATTACAGAAGGCAAAGCAAACTTCTTAAGTTCAACGGTTTTATGTTAAACATATATTGCAATGTTTAAGATAAATGTACTAAACCCAAAAAATAATAAAATGGATACAGTCGTGGGAATTACAAACATATGCATAGACTAGACTAAAATAAAACCGTGGGGCACGTCAATTATCTACAATCGTTGATTAAAAAGTTTGTTTTGTAATGTTACACTATAATTAGGCAGTTGTTCAACCAACAGCAATGGACGCGTAAATGGGTAACAAATTGTACAATTTTGTGACAAAACTGTATTGTCCAACTATTTTAGATTCCATCTTGTGCAATAAGAATTTTGTTAAAAAAATAAAATAAACAATAACATGCATATTTAAAAGTCTATTGAGCAATGGGTATACTTAACTACTTTCACATTTTTTGATTTACTGACTAGAAATAGAAATAGGTAAAAAAAACTTTTTAAGTTAAAGGGTTTTATGTTAAACATATATTGCAATGTTTAAGATAAATGTACTAAGATCCAAAAAATAATAAAATGGATACAGTCGTTGGAGTTATAAACATATGCATACACTAGACTAAAATAAAACCGTCAATTGTCTTAAAAGTGTTTTTACCTATTTTTTTCTAGTCTTTAGTTTTTAACCTAGCCTCATTTTGCTCAGGTGTTTTGACGCTAATTGTTCCCCTCGTTTCACCTTCACTTTCTTTAGCTCGTTTTGCTTTATAATTTTCATTCGCTGTTTGAAGCCTTCGTTTACGTTGTGTTGCAGTTTCTGTTTTATTTGTGTTTGTATTTTTTGTACCATTTTGTTCTCATTTTGTACAACAAGATGCGCCTGAGTCTTGAGGGGAAAACACTTACGACATATAATTTTTATCCACCCTAAAGCCATACAGTTTTCGGAGCGGTGTACCGCTATCATTTTTAGCCACCCTAACGCCACACAGTCCTTAACAGGCTGGATTAATCATACCTAACTTACAGATGCAATATGCTCAACCACTAAATGGCGTATAATAATAAGATTTAAACTTAATCTTATTTTTATACGCCATTTAGTGGCTGAGCATATCTTAAATATTGATTTAAACGTTGTGTCTGGATTTGTTGCATAGAGAACGATGTATTTTGGACTATGTCAGTGGAAAAGAACCTTGAGACACTTTGGGAACCTGGGATATATTATTCGATGACCAAAGCAAAACAGGATGTGCTATATAATATTTTTGGTGACTTTTATACACTCAGCCACGTTGTTTGAGGACGTCGAGTGTACTACTTTCCAACTAAAATTATTATTCCGACCACAAACTACTCCAAAATTACATTCGATCTCGCAAACAACTATCTGCGATAAATTGCATTTAAACTTAAAGTTAAGATACCTTGTTGACCTATTATTACGTCGGTCTAAGGTTAGCTACGCGAATCTCGTGTGGTGCGCCAACTTTTACAATCCCACGGTTACCGGATTGACCCGAAACAACAAAATCCCAGTTTCGGACAGCGGCTGCCAACCCAGTATGTACATGTTTGTGTTTGTCTATTTTTCTGCATTGGGAACAGCATATCCCGGAATGCGTGCTCCGGATTTTATTGGTCCGTGCCGAAATTGAGGAAAACCCGGACCTTAGTTCTGCTCAGTTTGTCAGAACGTCATCCACCACATATCTGTTTCGGTGTGATGTAATGGATGTAAAGAATGGGTGCACTTCAAGAACTGTTCCCGACTAAGGCGTTTGTGAGACTATTATGTTGCGACTTGCTGCAGTAACGTAGTCACCAGCGAGTCCACTTCTTCGACGTCCTCATCAGAGACGTCGTCGGAGTCGGAGCAACCAACACCGCAGCATCCAACGCCACATGTTGCGTTCCAACTCCGGACTGTGCATCAATCTTACCGCCTGATACTAGGTGATTTTAATGCCCAACATGAGTTGTGGCATTCCGTCCTAGGTAATGACCAGAGGGGATCAGCGTTGGTAGAGCAGATTGACTGCTCCACATTCTGCACGGTTAACGAGGATACCCCCACCCGAAAAAGAGGAGAGTGTCACTGTTCACCAGACTTAACCATGGTGTCACCCGGTCAGATAAATGACTGGATTGGCAGCCCGTCATTTCTCTTCGCTCAGACCATCTCCCGATAATCCTCTCCATAAGCGATAGGGCGAAGCGAAGAGTATTACGTCGCATCAGATCTCTTCCCGCCGAGGAGGAACCACCAAAAGTACCACAAAAGCATTATACTCTATTTCGACACATATTAGTAGAGGACTCAACCAGAACAAGCCGTGTAGCAGAACAGTGTTGGTAGCCCTTGACCTATCAAAGGCATTTGATACGGTCAATCATGCCGTACTGTTTGAGGACGTGCTCTCTGCACCCTCCGGCTTTGAAACGTTGGATAATCAACTATATGTGTGGACGCCAGTCGTACGTGGGATTTTGGAACAAGAAGTCCAAACCCGTAGAGTGAAACAGGGAGTTCCCCAAGGTGAGGTGATATCTCCGAAACTGTTTAACCTTTACCTTTTCGGAAGTCCTCGCCCTCCAGACGGCATGGTGATCGTAGCGTATGCCCAGGGGTCGATGACACATGTGAAAGGTTGAACCCCTACCTCGCGGAGCATGCCGCATACTTCCACGTGAGGAATATATAAATATCTGCCATGAAATCAACGGTCACACTCTTTACCACATGGTCTGCGGAGATGAGAACACGGCTGAATGTGCAGGTCGAAGGGAATTTAAAACCGACCACGGGGTCACATTCGACAGCATGTCCAAGTCGTCCGCACAAGCCACAGCTATCTGCGAAAAGATGAAAAGTAGGAACAAGGTCCTCAAGGCGCTAGCTGGCAGCACTTGGGGTGCGGACAAAGAAACCTTGTTGACCCCTTATAATGCGATAGGTCGGTCTGTGGTCAGCTATGCGACTACAGTGTGGTCTAGTGCTACGCTGTGGAAGCACATCCAGACCTGCCGTAACGCTACCCTGAGAGCTGCGACAGGGTACATCGGGTTCTACGATACCGGATTGACCCGAAACAACAACATCCCAGTTTCGGCCAGCGGCTGCCAACCCAGTATGTACATGTTTGTGTTTGTCTATTTTTCTGCATTGGGAGCAGCATACCCCGGAATGCGTGCTCCGGATTTTATTGGTCCGTGCCGGGATTGAGGAAAACCCCGGACCTTAGTTCTGCTCAGTTTCTCAAAACGTCATCCACCACATATCTGTTTCGGAGTGATGTAATGGATGTAGAGAATAGGTGTACTTCAAGAACTATTCCCGACTAAGGCGTTTGTGAGACTACAGCGAAAGGGATTATGTTGCGATATGCTGCAGTAACGTAGTCCCCAGCGAGTCCACTTCTTCGTCGTCCTCATCAGAGGCGTCGTCGGAGTATGGAACTCCACCGCAGTCTCCAGAAAAGCAACCAACACCGCAGTATCTAACGCCACATGTTGCGCTCCAACTCCGCACTGTACATTATTCTTGCAATTCAATTGCAGCGGACTCTGAGGCAAAATAGTGGAATTTATGGTTCGGAGGAATATTAAGATCGCAGCGGTTCAGAAAACCAAACTGAATCAAAATTGCAGCCTATAACGTTGTTATAGTTTCAACGTACCAAGGAAGGATCGCACAAGAAATGTATGTGCGATCCTTCCTGTTCAGTACAGACCTACCTCGCCTGAGCTGGTCTCTAGTGACCCATCATGGAATGTATAGGGGTAACAGTAAAGTGTGGAACTGCGAGGTAGAGGTGCTTAATGTGTATATCTCGCCGATTAATAGCTGTGAACCGCGTTATTTGCCTGATATTAGCCCATTGTTGGTAGGCAATAACCGCTTGATACTAGGGGATTTTAATGCCCACCATGAGTTGTGGCATTCCGTCCTAGGTAATGACCAGAGGGGATCAGCGTTGGTAGAGCAGATTGACTGCTCCACATTCTGCATGGTTAACGAGGATACCCCCACCCGAAAAAGAGGGGAATGTCACTGTTCACCAGACTTAACCATAGTGTCACCCGACAAGATAAATGACTGGACTTGGCAGCCCGTCATTTCTCTTCGCTCAGACCATCTCCCGATAATCCTCTCCATAAGCAGGTTTCCCGATTTCATAATCTATGAACGCCGCACTTTCCTTAACTATGGGAAAGCTTCAGAGAACCGCCCAACCCTTCTGAGGTTCGGATAACAGAAAGGATTTTCCGAAACATCATCAAAGCTGCAGCCACTCGCTATATACTTGCTGCTCGAATACCCGAGATAAGACCAAACTTCCCAGCGTGATTAGCAAACGAGCGTGATGACCTCCGTCGTACTAAACCTACTGATCCTAGAATCAGTGATTTGACAGTGAAAGTCAACCGGTTGGTACAGGAGCATAAGAGGAAAAATTGGCTAGACCATTTGAAGTTTTACAACATTGGAACCGATTGTGAGTAACCTGTGGTAACGGTTAAGTCACACTCGAACCCTGGAAAAAGGATGATAGGACCTCAGTCACTTTTACGTCGTAACGATGACTGATCCGAAGAGGTGTGCGGGTATTTTAACCGAAAATTTGTCGAGCACCCGAGAGCGATAGGGCGAAGCGAAGAGTATTACGTCGCATCAGATCTCTTCCCGCCGAGGAGGAACCACCACAGTTTACGATGAGTGATGTTGCAATATAGTACCACAACAGCATTATACTCTATTTCGACACATATTAGTAGAGGACTCAACCAGAACAAGCCGTGTGACAGAACAGTTTTGGTCGCCCTTGACCTATCAAAGGCATTTGATACGGTCAATCATGCCATACTGTTTGAGGACGTGCAGAGAACCACCCTCCGGCTTTGAACCGTAACAAGAATAAGAAGTCCAAAGCCCGTAGAGTGAAACAGGGAGTTCCCCAAGGTGAGGTGATATATCCGGA